CGGCCCATAAGAATACATGGGCCGGCCGCCATGTTCGTGACACAAACTTCTTTTCTTCTTCTTGATCCGTTGCAGACAAACGGTTAATGGCACAAATAGCGACAAATAGTTGTTTTTTTATAATGTTTATTGCTCTTTTCTACTGGTAGTTTTTCATTATCAAGTTGATCCATTCGTTGTAGGCGGACACGCGGGTGAAAACGGAGGGGAAGGGGATGCTGCCGCAGTTCTTGAGACCCCAGGAGACGACGCCGACGACAACAGTCTTCTCGCCGAACCAGCCGTCCTTCTGGATCAGAGGGCCGCCACTGTCGCCCTGGAGCAAGAAATCAGTTTTCAGGTATGCCTTATAGTTTACAGTCAGAGTTGCGCAGATAGAATGCGCCCTTTGTACAAGTAGCCATGGCAGGCAAGTGCTCTCATTCATCTATTTACTGTGGGTACTTACACTGCAGGAGGAGAGGCCAGTCTTTTTCAGGTCGCCAACGCAAAGGTTGGTGTCCGTAAGTGGATTCGGCTCCTTAGGCGAGATGTCGGTGATGTAGTCGTAGCACGTCTTGAAGTCAACGACGGGGAAGTCCAGGGTCTGGAGCTTGTCGGGGTACACGGGGTGGTCTCCGTCCTGGCTGGTGCTGCCCCAGCCCGAGAGGATGGCCTTTCCTTTGGGGATGGCGTTGGCCTTAGGCAGTTGCGCGATCTTGACGCCTTTGTTAAGCTGGGCCTTGCCTTTGAGCTTGAGAAGGGCGATGTCGTAGGGGCCGACGTTGGCCTGAGGGTCGTACTGGGCGTGCACCATGGCCTGCTCGACGGTCAGGCGCTGTCCGTCGTCCTTGGTCAGGCTGGTGATGCCCAGAACGACGGAGACACCGGTGGCGAACGAGGGCACGCCGTAGACGCAGTGTGCGGCCGTTAGCACCCAGGTGTCCGCGATGAGGGTACCTCCGCAGATGTGCTGCGGCTTAGGGTAGCCGGGGACCGACACCTGCATGGAGGCTTGGTGGGGGAACTGGTTGCGCTTGGCGTCCTTTCCGCCTACGATCTGGTCGTCGGTAGAGGGCACGAACGTCTTGTCCAGGCCCAGCGGAGCCCAAGCGAAGATGGACGGCTCGGCGGCAGCCAAGGAGGGGTCGCGGGCAAAGTTGAAGACCTTAACATTGGCGCCTGTGGGAGCGAGCAAGGTCGGATGTTAGATGTGCACACCCTGCTGACTCTAACCTTTTCTTGTCGGGGTACCTACCGCTGGCGGCCGCCACAAAGGCGAGGGCCACTGCAAGGAAGGTGAGGGGCGCCATGTCAGTGCAACTGACAAAACCTCGGCAGCGAGGTACTATTTATTGCGTTCTGCCGCACTGCCGTTTTTCCGAGGGCCTTCCTATCGGCAAGCATTCTGGGAAAATACGTCATGGGATACAAGAGTTAAGTGTTTGGCGATCGCTCGTCTTGATTCCCGATTAAGTTGGCACTTGTCAAGAATGGTGGGTTTGTCGGAGCAATTATTTCCTCACTTGAATCGAGAACGATCGGAAATTCTTCTCTGAAAAGGTATTAAATTCTTCTTTCAATCATGAGTGTGAAACTTGAGTCTGAGCGGGTGACTCAATCGATCAACAGCAAAGCGCGACGGTACGCGACCATTTATTATGCTGCACCGCTTGTCTCAAATGGATCTGATTTATAATTCGCCTAGTCATTGCTAGTATCGCTATCTAGTAGTTCGCAAAGAAGCATCGTAGTGTGTGACCTGACATCGCGAAAATAGTCTAAGTATCGCTGTTGTTGTCATTCACCTTCGCTTAAAAAAAACAACAAAAAAACAAAACAAATAATAACGAGGATGTTTGTTAATGGCTAATGGCTATTACTGTTTAAATGTTGCGAAGCTATTAAATCCATTGTATTTCAACTGTATTGTTTATGTAAGCTTGTGAGGCTGCCAAATAGTTTACAATTTACAAACAAAAGTTCGCAACGGCTTCGTAGGGTTTTATCTGTTTAAAGAGGACAGCCCCTATCTATGTAGGACGAATCATTTTATTTTATGGGTAAGAGTACTACAGTGCTAATCTTATGTGATTTGCAAGGTAATGATCAGTTTAAGGGGAGACAGAGGTGACCACGAGGGGGACACCACTTCAATTTGGGATGTACACATGATTACGTGATTGCATGGATTACACGTAAATTTTAGGGGATTACACATGAATTTTGTTGAAATTATGGCTCGAAAACCATTAAATTTGGACAGTGAGATGATATTTAGTGATAATGGTCTAAAATTTGGTCAAGTATTACAAAGAACACATAAGGATTACATAGGGATTACACCATCACCTGTACACAGGATTACACGAGTGGTGGCCCCCTCGGGTGACCACCACTCGCGTAATCCTTTGTACAGGTGAGGGTGTAATCCATATGCAATCCCTATGTATTCCGTACAATATTTGACCAAATTTTAAACCATTGTCACTCAATTTTTACTTATTTCCAAATTTAATGGTTTTAGAGCCATAATTTCAACAAAAATCATGTGTAATCCCTTAAAACTCACGGGTAATCCATGTAATCACGTAATCCTGTGTACACCCTAAATTGAAGTGGTGTCCCCCTCGACCTTTGCACACAATTATCGAGTCCGTAAGAAAATGAGAGTGCAGAAAGAATGTTTTTGCCGATCAACAGCGGCGTTACTGCTCATCCTATTATCTCACATTCGCTAGCACTCTTGCCTCGCTCTGCCCTCACAGGGCCAACATAAGTAGTGCATGGCACTTGTTTGACCGTCATTTTCGTGATAAAGAATCTGGCACAGTATTCCAAATTCCGAACAATGTGACTCGAGTCACAGTCGTTTAAATGAGACGTCACAGTGTTTGTATATCTATGATTGGTTTGAAGGTACAAAAGTTGAGTGCTTTGCGATGGCGGGCTTATCGCAGCGATGACGACATGTTATTTCCTCAACGGAAACGAAGACACGAGATTTTTTTCCTGAAAAGGCATTACAAGTATTTCGTTGTCTTGCCATGATTGTGTGCAAAACACAACATGCGAGCGTTTCGTCATCAGCCGTTGATTCAGTCGATCGTTGTTGAGATCGCGTTACATGTCTGAATGGGTCATAGTATGGCATGACTCACCACTCACTCATAGCACACGTCAATTTTCCATATCACCTCTTTCTATTCCTACGCAGTTATGGAAAGTGTCCCTGGTTGGTCCGGACGCAACGGTTGCCGATGTCATTTAGTTTGCATTCTTCGCATACTTGTGCTGGGTTAAGATTGTCGACTGGCCTCGTGGCTTGAATAAAATGTCCCTGTCTCAGGAAAACAGTTCGCGTATCAGACGTCGGTTTAAAAGAGGTACCGTTTCAGCGAGGTTCACTCTGTGCAGCGACGGACGGAGGCAAGTAGTAGGCATGGTATCGATAAACACCTTGCTCTCTGACAAAGCCCCTCCTCTTCCTCAGCTTATTTCTCTCTGGCCAGTGGCATGCCAACTGATGAGAATCTTTTGCAAGAATCGGTTCACATGTGCCGGCTCCTTCCTTCCGCACCGCTTTCCTTTGCTCTCTCCTCCGTTTTCATCCGTACCACCACCCCCCCTCTCTGGAGCCTGTCGGGCCGGGCCCTTCCTGCGTGCTATCTCCTCCCTCCGTACGTGACTTTGTGTTGGCCAGGCGTAATCTGCGACACGGAAGACGGAGACATTCCAGCGCCTGCTAAGAAGTTGCCGGGACGTGTCCACCGCCAGAGGAAGTTAGGGTGTGGAGGGGCGGGAGGGGGGAGGGAGGTCAGGGTAGGCCAGGTGCGTGCGCGGCCTGGTGGCATTGTTGCTCGCCTTGGATTTCGTCTCGTGAAACTTAGTGCGTTGCATCGCGTGCGATGTAATGTGTACAGGATTTACACGCCGACTGTGAGATAGTCGAGAGGCTAAAATAACAATGATTTACTTTTGAAAGAAAGGGGACGCTAGTCAAGAGAAATGTACCGGACGTCTGCACAGCTGCTTCGGGGCGTGCTTTTCAGTCGCTCTCGAGGCAGACATACACTAAATTGTTATAAACCGTTTTTTTCTTTTTGTACGCAGCCTCTTGCGCATCGTATGTATTTTATTTCTGTGTACCTGGGCTTTTGCGAGGGGGTTACCACTTCGATTGAGGATGTACCGGGTGTAACTGAGAATGCGCAACAGTGTTGCGGGTTTGCCTACCCAGTTAGCCCGTAAGGCGCCATGGCCCCTGCAGCCCTGGCGGGTATGCAATCCCGCAACACTGTTGCGCATTCTCAGTTACACCCGGTACACAAGATTACGGGATTACATTAATTTTGTTGAATTTCTGAGGGTAAAACCATTTAATTTGGATAATATGGTGAAATTGATATTTTTTTTGAAAATTATGTTAAGTATTTCACGGATTTTATGGGGTTACACTTCTATCCGTACACAGTATTACGGGAGTCGTGGCCCCTCGGGCTTTGGCGTGTTCGTTTATACGCAATTTTAAAGAAATTTGCAGCAGTAATCAATTTTTGTCCATGACTGCGTTTAAAACCATACGCAACATCGCAGGTACACGCAGAAATACGTAAGTGCGTGTAATAAAGTTCATAACCATTTAGTGTGCACGAAGGAAGAGCTGGAGAGATGGAGATGAAAAGGGGGTAGGGGGAAGCAGTTGCGTGCGTGTTTAGAGCCCACATCCAGAAGTTGGACCTGGGGCGACGCGGCCCGCGCCGGACCCCACCCCCACGGTACACCATGGCCGGCCGCATGTTGGTCGGCCGCTGAGCGGCCGCATACACCCCCGGGCGGACGCCGCGCTAGTGGCCGCAAGACAGAGGGCGGAGCATCTCGGAACTCACACCACTCAGCGGCACTCTGTTGCACTATCGCGTAGTGCGTGGATTTAAATGCCTCGCAAATCCTTTACAAACTATACCACGGAATTAAATTCTGTCACACAGCTGTAGTATTGGTCAATGGTCACCATCTAAGTATCACGGACGTAACCATCAAAATGCTTTTCAAGTTTTTCTTTACCGATAGTGTCTTGAGGTTTACACTCAACTCTTGCGAATGTTAAACGTTGTTGTTCTAAACTTTCTAAATGGCACTAGCGTGGGGCAACAGTGGACATCGTTTCGTTACTGTCGCGTCAGAATTTTGTCGGTGCATGACGGGTGACGGGCACTTCTGGAAATTTAAGGCATTAATAATCAGTTGCAAACGATTTTGGCGATTTTGCAATTGCAAAGCAGTTACAACCGTTGACAAGGTTTTCTTTTCACCACGTACCACGTGCGGTGCGGTCACACGCTGAGAAAGTACAGGTTGGACGCTGTATTTGACAGTAAAGTGTCGGTAACTGTCGACGAGCACGGGCACCACGCGACGCGTGAAGTCCTCTATTCCACTTGGAGCTCTGAGCAAACAGCCCTCTGCTGTGTACGGCGACCGGCGGCGGAGGGGAGGGGGATGCACCGGCCACTGTTGCGTACGACACGAATGTGCCGGGCCTGCCGGGCACGTCCGCTGCCCTAGATTCAAATCCCTTTTACCCTCCCCTCCTCTCCGCACTTCCGCCGACCCCGCTCCAGCCCGCTCCCCTGGTGCCACGCAACTTGTAGTGGCGGCGGTGGGCCGACGCAGGGTGACTCGTGGTTTTTGCTCACGTGTTGGCGGCGGGGGCCGTTGTTGCCGCCACGTCTGGGTGGACCGAGCAGGGCTTGCCGTGCTCGAGTTGGCCAAATTTAATAATTTTCGGACTAGATGGTATAATATTGTGTCTCCCCATGACCTTGGCGCGGCGAGCTGCGCGTTCACTCACCCCGCAGTCAGTCCCCGGGGTGCGTCGGGTGGAATGGCGATAGATGGCTGGAGGGGAGAGCGAGATAGAGAAAGCGAGATAGAGAGAAAGAAAGAGGTCCTGATCGGGCAGGAGGTCAACCCGCCCGCATTACCCAAGATTGTCACGTCCTCAATTGTAAGGGAGGGCTTCCGTCCACGACAGGTGGGTCGAGCCGGGCTGCCGGGCCCACCGTCAGGCACAGACCTTTGCGTTTTCTTCACGAAGCACCCCCCCTCCCCCTCTGTCTCCCTCTCTTCCTCTTCCCCTCTCTCTCCCAACCACGACACACCCCTTCTTATCCTCTTTTACTATAGTTCTCGCCGTTCACTTTCCCTCGTCCTCGATGTGCCCTCTCTATGAATTCTTGCCTCGCTTTGCCCTATCCTCTGTCGCTTTGCGGTCCACGGTAAAAATCAACGTTGTGAAAAAATGTACGAAGAGATTCAAATACTTACACAATTTCAGTTCGAGTATTATTCGGCATTCGCCATTATTTAGGTCAGCCTAAGATCGAATTGTCTCCTAGTAAATCTGGATTTATGATA